CGCCCGGTCTCATACTTTCTATCGTTATTTAGAATAACAACGATTCCGAATTCGTTCGTAATCTTATCGATTAGTCGAAATTTCTTATCTCGATAGAAATATTGCCAATTTCTGATAAATGTAAGAAGTTATCGATTACGTTACGATTATAATTTTGANCGCCCGGTCTCATACTTTCTATCGTTATTTAGAATAACAACGATTCCGAATTCGTTCGTAATCTTATCGATTAGTCGAAATTTCTTATCTCGATAGAAATATTGCCAATTTCTGATAAATGTAAGAAGTTATCGATTACGTTACGATTATAATTTTGATTATAAATATAGTTCATTTGGGGCGATTGTCTATGTAGTCGAACGCGAATCTTCTTAGAATCTTAGAATGTTTAATGAATTTTGTAACGCGAATCGTGTTGCGCGCGTCAACGAGTAGATATATACCTCTGTTAATCGTCCAAGGAGAGACAATGGCTCGTCGTCGGTTTCCTTTCGTTGATAAATGTAAAAAGGAGTATGGTTTGTTCTACTAGAGCGTTTTGAATACAGGCCGCGAACAGTATAAAAAATTGAGTTTCATGTCATTGCAAAAGCGTTTCGCCACACGAACTGGTCGTTGTTGGAAATTACATTCCGACAAATATGTATGGCCAACTGTGAGTAACCGAGAGGAAATAAAGCGCGTGTTGCTCGGGAAATTCGATTTCTCTCGTCTCTCCTGGTTACACCGGTGTTCGGTTCGTCTTCTCGCTTTTCGATCCGTTCAATTTTGAACCGCTGCGAAGTTTTATCGAACTCGACGATGATCGTAAAAGCGTTTTTATATCGTATCTTTGCGATCGCACAACATTCCAAAAAAGTTTTCTTTTCGCTTCTTCGAACAATTTTCGCTCTGTCGTCGTCATTTTATATCGCATTTGTTCCAACCATCGATTCTCGCGCGAAGAACGTCGATCCTGAAAGAGATCGTACTTATAAATATTATATTTAACGATAAGCACAACGTTAGAGAACAAAAAAATCGAAGGAATTTCTCTCGTCGCGACTCGAAGAACGCGCGCGCACGTCCGATGAAATTTCTCTAGTCCAAGCGCGATAAACGCTTTCGTCCTTTTTACGAACGTTTCGTTCTCAGCGTACTCACTATAAATACAACACCCTCGCTCGTTGTATCTACAAAGTGTTCCGTTTAAACCGCGGTAACGCGTATCTTGTAAACCATACGAGATACGAACAAACTTGTTCGAACAGTTGTTGTTCGGTGCAGATGGAGACATTGTGCGATGCGAATAAACGACCGCCGTCGCGGTCTATCATTGAAAACGGTCGAAGGGAAATGTTTCCAGCAATTTTATACGTATAAAAAGATGTCTCTACTACGATGTATACAATGAATCCGTTCACACGATTCGTCGCTTAAAATAACAAATCGTTCGCGTCTTCGATCGTTTACGAGATACTTTTGTTTTCTCTACTTGAACAGGACACCCTGCGTACGAGTATATGTATATCCACGCGATTCGTTAGAAGGTACAAAATTTCAAGTCGGGGTACGATCGAAACGTAAGCGTGAAACGACGCGCGTACCTCTGATTGCAACGTGTCGTATTACATGCTCGTAGATACATGTATACGTAAACGTATGTGTATACATATTGATATATGTATATAGATTATTTTGGAAGAACAGATTTGCGTATTGCAACAGCGCATAGAGAATCGCGACGCCTTACCGAGGCGAACGATAACTTTCGTACGGGATATGTGACTTTTTGGAACGGGACAAATTTCTGATCGAATAATCGCCGATTATCCGACGTTTGCGGGGCCCCGTGCTACACTATTATATTTTTTACCTACGGTTGGAGCTTTCGAATGCGAGACACGTACACGAAACGTGTGATTTTATTGGTCGAAACAGAGTACGCTCGAGCAGCAAGATACTTCGACTCGAAGATTCGCAGAAACATCGCGTCGATTCGGCGCGATGAGTCTATGAAACTTACAGGTTCGCTGCGATCGTTATAGTCTGTAGGGAGTTTGAGCAACGACCAGCGTGAATTTCTACGTGGAGAAATGCGATGCAGGATTAAATAAATGGTTGTTGCTCGAGTTATCTCAATTCGTATAGATAATTCATAGGTAAACGTAGATTTCAAGACCAAAGTCTACACATACGTAATAACGTTCATTTTTCAATAGACGCGGTAGCATAAATTTAAACGTCGCGATTCTTCGGGAGTTTTACACGGAGAGTCTGAGATCTCGTCGCTGTTCGCATCCGGAAGTTCCAACCATTGTCCTCTCGAAGATCGTGGCGTACTTTAAAACGCGAATGCGCGGAAGTTGTTTCAAATAGGCGTGGAAGGAGAATTAAGTTTTGTAAAAATTATAAAAAAATTATTAAGAAGAAGAAACGAATGAAATCGAGAGAGCAAAGAGAAATATTTGTGAAACGATTTAGCGGATCCGTCGGACGAGCCACGATCTCCGCGAGGTGGAAACGAATCGCGAATCGCGACGAACGCGATCCGGTGCCCCGTAAAACCCGCGTGCCCCGCCTTTCGTAATCGCGTTATCGTTCCGTCGATAAGGCGCTTGGATGCATAAGTTTAGCGAGTACCGAGCGCACTCGAATTAAAACGTAATCAACGGGATTAAGTGTAAGAAGAAAGACCGGAGGTCGACGAGGACCGGAAACCCGACCGATCGCGAGCCGCGGAGCCCCCGTCGCCCCGCTTCCGGACATTAAATATCGAGTAAAAAGTGGCAATTTTCGATAACCTACGTCACAAGTACTTTGTACATCGAGTGAAAGTCGAATCCCCTTTGTTCGCCGCGGCGTAACGATCTCCGAACGATGTGTCCCCGAGGAACATGATTTTTCGTCTTAGGACTGCTGTATGACGGAGACCGTCGTCTCCGCGATACCACCCCCGTCTCGGCATATACTGGAGGAAGTGGTCGTTTCCTCCGATGGCGCCGGAGCAACCGTCAACTGCCTCTGCTCCATGTGATCCAGGGTCTTCTCGATGGCCCTCAATCGCTTTTCCAGGCTGGTCGTCCCGAGAATCCCTACCTGCAGCTGCGGCCCCAACGGTAAAATCGCCAGCAACCACCACGTCCAGGACGGCCCGTCCGGTAAACGAGGCCAATCCTCTTCGGTGTCCGGCATCCGACCGAAAACCCGTTGAATCTCGGATTGCTGCGACGACGACACCGTGTCCCACCATCGCCTGCCCTTCGCTCGCACCTGAAACGAACACGTCCTCTATTTAACAAATACGAACGTTTGAATCGTAGAACACGGTCGCTGCTACGGTTAACCTTTCGTTTCTTTCGAGCAATTATCGTTGCTTCGCGCAACGCTTGTTACTCGACGCAACGGTCTCCGATATCAACGACGAACCGTGGATGGATTTTACGCGCAGCGTAAAACAGATTCGGAGAAGATTAATTCGAGTTGGAACACGTTCGAATGACGCGAATGCAAGCGTTGGCGAAAGCGATACGGTAGTAATTAGAGTTGTTGTATTTTAGCAAAGACTTACTGTAAATGTCCTACCTTATCGTGTAGCTCCAAGAGGCTCAACAGTTGGTCCTCCTGTACCATCGCGTCCCTCAAGAATTCCACTTGAGCGGTATCGTAGCCGTCCCTTTCACCCCCGGAGATAACCCTGAATCTCCTTCCACCGACTGTACTGAGGATACTGCAACCGTCTTTCAACAGAACCCTGTCCCGAATCTCGAGCATGGTGCCGTATTCCGCGTATCTGAAAGATTCGTAAATATCGAATCGCGTCCGACGTCGAATAATCGTCGCGTTCAAAAACAAATATTAATATAGAACGATCGCGTACCTCTTTGTTCCCGTCGCTTCCCTGTTCAGACACGCCGCGATGCCAAATTGACGAACGCCGCTTTCCACGCATCTCCTGACCATCAGCCTGTATCTGGGCTCGTAGACGAAGAGAGGACACGCGACGCAAGGGAACGCGGTGGTACAAACGAACACTGCGATCTGTTCGCTGTCCAAAAGGCCGAGTCCCTGCGCGAGCTCCAATCGGTGGCTGGTCGCCCTCGACGCGTACTCCGCCGGTGCCACGGTCTTCAAAGCTCTCTCCACAAAGTCCGTAACCGTCTTTTGGCTGCTGGCCAAGTACTGCGAGTTAAAGGACACTCCGGTTAGTCGAGCAGAAGTCTCGTCCTCGAGAAAAGCTTTCGCTCGAAAAGATTTCGACGACAGGATTCGTGACTTCTTTGCGAAACGGGACCGTTTCGCCTCCCCTGGCTCTCGCCTTTTCGGACGGAACACGCTCGGACCGCTCTGTACGCGCCTAGAACCGATTCGCTGCGTTCGCTTTGAAATTACGCGTGTTTCTTTTTCACGAGGAAACGGTTGCGACTCGTTGACGAAACGTAAGATCGTACGCCGCAAAAATGTCTTCAACGTCTCGCCGATAAAGACGCTCGCCGAGAGCAATTGGTAATGTCGCCGCGAACACGGAAGTTACCGACAACAGCTGCGTCGACCGCGAACAATAATATAATCGTTGTAATCCGCAAAATCGTTAACCGCTAGGAAGCGATACAGCTGTTTTATGGACAAGCGTTGCCCGCCGTTCCACGTCTTTCGGGATTAGCGAATCGTGACTAACGCGAGTCACGTTTCCGAGGCCGAGTCACGAATTAACGCGTAAAATTCTAACAGATCTTGAAAGAAAAACGTCGAGAGAAAAACGTTGACCCGAGGTTGGGATTCTAGGAGGAACCTAAAGTTAACCTGAACGCGGTTAACGAATCGAACGCGAGGGACGAACGTTTAACGCAACTATCGCTAACGGATACGAATGTTACTTACATCGGCGAGAGACGTGACGCATAAAGGACAAACCGACGAGTAGTCCAAGCATCGATCCAGACACATCCAACAATACGTGTGCCCGCAGGGCGTCGTTACGGGTTTCCATAATAATCGACAGCAGAGAATGCAATCCAACTCGCCGGCAGTGCCGCAAGAAAGGGGCGGTAGAAGAATTTCGGCGGGCCTTGTTTCGAGTCCTGCAAAATGGAAGGTATCGTTCGCGCGGTTACACATTGTCCGTTAGCATCTTTCCGATAATAATAATGTTTGCAATATTATCGCTTATTCGGAGCAAAACGAAATATCCGAAATATTGCAAATAATTTGCTACGCGTTCCACGTACGACTCACTTTTCAGTTTTTCTATATCTTGGTACACGCGATCCAGGCCAGCCTGCAGCTTGCCGTTGCGTGGCGCTGCGGTCGACAAGAGTCTCCTGCTAACCGTCTGCAATGAATCAACAAGCATAATTGGATTAGGCGCGAACTTTGATCTGAAATTATTGGGATTGACACGAGTAGAGATCCTATTCTTTGAAATACAATTCGTTTTTATCCGCCACGGCACGCCGAGAGATTGTGCAAGATTTAATGGATCGCGTTACGCAATCTAGAAATCTTGTACAAACCTAATTTCTCGATACGCCGTTTGCTCCCTCGACGCTCGTGCCATCGAGCCTCTTTCAATTTTTCCATTCTCGTACCATTTCCAACGCTGTTACAACACTTTCCCGTACACAGGCGATTATCGATATCTTATTGTTCGAACTAGTTTCGACGACATATGGAAAGACGCAAAGTCATAAACTTAATATCCGATCAACGAGTTTCGAATAATTCGGATTCGAGCAACGCGAAAATTGAAATTAACACTATAAATCTTCGCGAAACGAATAACGTCCGAGCGTCGATCGCATCACCGAAACGACTCGCGCTACTCGATAGGTTTACGAAAACTCGAGATCGAGTAATCCGCTCGAACCGTTTTGTTCTCGCTGCTACGATCGAGCAGGAAGCAAAACTCCGCCGTAATCGACAACGACGACTGCATCTATATACGAAATCTAGACAATTGGAAAACCTATTAACGCGTTGATTTATCATTAAACGCGGAGAACAATTATTGAAACGGTTGTCGAGCAATAAAAAACGGTTAATACCAGCCATGAGATCCGCGATGATTGAAATACCGGATTTATATAAGTTCCGCCGTGGCGAGCGCTTATTATTACTACGGATTCTACGTTATCCCCACTCCGTCGATCCATAATAATTGCAAATTGCTTGTTAATTACGCGCGCGTATCCGTGACAAGAAGTCTCGTGTCGTAATAATACGATTACTCTGTAGCAAGTGCACTGCTCTCTCGTCGGTAGAAATAAATCAATCGATCCGAAGTATCGAACGCGCGATCGCGACGATCGTTACGATGTAATTAAAATACTGTATCCTATTGCACGAGTTAACTGCAAGAATATACGATTGCTTTATTTCCCGCATCTTCTTACCGTCGACGTTTCGAGCACGCTTTTCGGTACACCGATCGGCGAAATCGGGAGAGTCTTGGAATTTTTCAATCGTGCCACGCTGCATGTTTTTGCGAGTCCGTTGTTCTTTTCTTAATTTACCGAAACTTCGATAAACTCGACGACAAAATAACCTAAGACTTCGTTCTTTACCGCCTTACTCCGTGTCGCAAGGAAGACTGTGTAAAGCATTTTCCTTACTTAGTTACATAGTTTCTATCGTATTCGATTCTATTTTTAAACCGTCCACCGTGAACGACACAAAGGCGAGGTGTAAAAATAGACCAAACTCGTTATGGACTTTTCTGGCCGAAGTTCTTACTGCCTTACCGACCTAGAAAATTGAAGACTGACCGGAGCGCCCTCTTCTCGCGACAGTTCTCCCACTAATTACGTACTATTCGTTATTCGCTATTCGCTATTCGCTATTCGCTATTCACCGAAGCAAAATAGGACAGACGTCGTCAAAGTGTCCAGCTTATTATTGGTACTCGCGCGAAGTTCTGCCAATCGACTGTTCGCACGCGCGCTCTCCAATAAGATTTCGTTTGCTTTTTCGCATACAAATTTCTTCGAATCTGAATTATTTTCTCGCACCATCGCGTACGACCAGTTTTCTCTCGTTTCTATGTTTGTCTAAAAAAATTGTAAAAAAAATATCGTAAATTTAGAAAGACGATCGAATACCTGCGTGAATTCTTCCTCGCCGCCGCTGCTATTGTCCTCGCAGTCGGAACCTTGAATAACTGCGCGACGATTTCTTTTCGGGTTCATCAATTGATGCCGACTTCTCGTGCGCGACGCACCCTCCGACAAATTATATGGAGCCCGGGACGACGCATTGTAACGACGATGCCCGACCGACAGCACTTTGTACAGCACCTGAAAACAACACGGAACCACGTCTTTTGTAATTCTAATGCATTCGCGAGGAGAAAGCCACTGTCCCGTATTGTCGACGATTTGCACGTCCATTCGCGAATATTGTTAACACCATAAACTCGTACTGCTCGATTGCTCAATGATGTCCATGTAAATGCGATGTCGTTGGAATTTACATCCGCCGTGGGTATAAAGGGAAATTGCCGACTGTGCACGCGGCGAGATTGTAATCTACCGTATATTTTAAACGCGTATCGATCGTGTCTTCGCGAAGAATGCGACGCAGCTTCGAAAATCCGAGTTTTCGGTTACCGCTGTTAAAATCTTGCGGAGACGTTCCTCGATCGAGTATGGAAAATTCATTTTTCTTATTCTTTTTTCACATTATAATTTTGCCATGATATCGGTTGTGCCTTGAAAGTAATATTCTTATTTATTCGATAAATTTCGTCGAACCGTTCGAAGCGTTTATTTACTTCGCGAACGCGAATTTTGCGTCCCATCGATATTCGACCGGCGTAAAATTCTTATCATCCTACGTAACTTCGTAACACGTTTCGTTCGAAACAAAGGGATATTTTAATAGGAAGAAAGCGACAAACGTTATTTTCCCCATAGCTCGAACGTTACGCCAAAAGAATGATTCCTCGATCTTACATAACTACCGGTGCAACTTGCGTCAATGATTCCAGCAGGCTCTCTGTTACATAATGAACGTTCGGAATTAAATTATCTTCGTGGCTCGTTTCGCCATTAAATATTGTCTTACTCGTTCGTCCTCTATTAACTCCCCCC